GAGCTTGAACTGCCAACCTTGCAGTTCAAACCCACCTTGCGGTCCAGCGCAATGACCACAATCCTTTTGTACCACCCAGGGGCCTTGTTTTCACATTGTTGAGTGATAATGAAAAACAGGAACTATGGCTGTAACATGCAGAGTCACCAGCAGATGGTCAGTCGTTGTGGGCTTGAGTGAGAACTCTTGCTCCTCTGCCCCTTCTTCCATTCTCCCCATCCTTCCCACCGACCCCGACTCCCCATCCAAGCCAGCAAGCATTCTTTCTGCTGCCCTCTTCAGCTTTGTTCCCTTTACTTCTGTCTTATCAGAGAGTTGAATTAGATTGCTATGTTTTCACCTTCTATTTTGACTGGTGTTGTTCAGTGCCATGGAATTGGTTCTGACTCATAGCAGCCCTGTATGGGGTTTCTGAGGAGCAGCTGGTGGCTTTGAACCACCAACCTTGCAGTTAGCAGCCCAGTGCTTATCATATAACACCACATTGCCTCTGACTCTGTTATCATATGCCAGTCACAGGAATAAGCGTCCAGAGAGGTTGAGAGATTAAATGCCTTATTCAAGGACATAGACAAGAAAAACCAGAATTGCAACTACTGATTTCTGTGTTAGTTTTCTTTCTAATCACTTGCTAAGTTAACTTTGTCAATTGACTCAAGGTCATGTCTGGAGTTGGCTTCAATTTTTATAAAAATTAGATTCTTCTGAAAGAAAAATGAGTGTTCTTTCTTACCCTGTTTTATTATAATTTCATGTGGATTTATTTTATAGGCGATGGACTTGGAAGCAAAGAACCATGAAGTATGCAACAACCACAGGTACTGACAATCTTCATTGGATCATTTTTCTTGGATTCAGATTGTGAACTAAGAGAGTGCTTAGTTCCCTCATTTGTGCATCCCACCACTGTCATCAAGTCGATTCCGACTCATAGCAGAAATATATATATATATATATGAGAGAGAGAGAGAGAGTGAGTCCTGGTGTGGTGCTGTGGGTTAATGTGCCAGACTGAAAAGCAGTTTGAACTGCAAGGTCGGTGGTTCAAGCTCACCAGCTGCTCTTCAAAAACCCTATACAGGGTCACTATGGGTTGGAACTGACTCAACGGCATTTAACAATATATATGTATATATATATTTTTTTTAACATAGAGAAGAAAAACCAGAATTGCAACTACTGATTTCTCATTAGTTTTCTTTCTAATCATATATATATATATAATTTATTTTTCCTGAGGCTATAAATCTTCACTGGAGCAGAAAGGCTCCTTTTTCTCCCTTGGAGAACTTAGATTTGAACTGCTGATCTTGAAGTTAGCAGCCCAATGCATAACCCACTATGCCACCAGGACTGTTTAATTTGTACATAGTAGGATCCATTGTCATGAGGTCCTGGTGTGGCATTGTAGAATAAGCACTGGACTACTAACCACAAGGTCGGTGCTTCAGACTCGCTAGGCACTCTTCATAAACCCGATTCTACGACACTAACAACAACAACAGCTTTGATGTTTTTAATTTTCATGACAATAGACTTAGTAAGGAATAAGGTGAGGGTTTCACTTCTCATAATTTTCACTTGTCAATAATTTTCAGCGTTGATATGTTGGATTTTCATGGCAATATTCTTAGTAAGGAATGAGTTGAGGTTTTCACTTTTAATATGAAAAATCTCTTACTTTTGAGCCTATAGGATAATAATCAAAAATATTTTTTAATTGTGTTTGACCATCTTTATTCAATGTGTGTTTGAAAAAATCATGTTCATTATTAGTTGCCAACAAGTCAATTCATAAAAGCCCTGCATAGCAGAGTAGAACTGCTCATGTGGTTTTCTAGGTTGTGATCTTTATGAGAGCAGATCATTGGGTCTTTTCTATCAGAAAGCTGCTGAGTGGATTTGAACTGCCAACTTCCCGGTTAATTGCAAGGTGTTTAACTTTTAAACCACCAGGGCTCCTTGGAAAAAGATGGTGTGAATCATTGTTTTTAAAGCAGTTATTTTAAGAAACAATCTTTTCTTTTTTCTAATTGTTGTTAAGTGTCGTGGAGTTGGTTTTGACTCACAGAGACCCTGTATAGGGTTTCCAAGTAGCAGCTGGTGAGCTTGAACCACCAACCTTATGGCTTAGGCCGTCCTTGCAGTCCAGCTCATTAACCCACAGTACCACACCAGGACTCCTTTTTTCTAATAAGATTTCACAATTATATAAAGGATTTCCAATTATATAAAGCACTGTGAGTTAATGCGCTGGACTGCAAAGTCGGTTTGAACTGCAAGGCTGGCAGTCCAAGCTCCGAGGAGCAACTGGTGAGCTTGAACCACTGGCCTTGCAGTTCAAACGGCTTTGCTGTCTGGCGTATTAACCCACAGTGCCACACCAGGATTCCATATGTGTGTGTGTGCTGTTAAGTGCCGTCGAGTCGATTCCAACCCATAGTGACCCTGTTTATATATATATAAAATTTCTGACTGATTGGTTGTAGTCCATCCTCTACCTGACATACATAGCTCATTCCAGCAGCCTTGCAGCAACTCTTCATCTGTGTAGATCTCCAGTGGAAAACAGTCTTTTGAATGCTATATGAAGCCTGCTATTTCTGAGAAGCAGTAACTTGATGAGTCTGTCAGAGTACCTTTATTTAGTAGGTAATGATCAAAATGCATAGTGCATATTAATGCAGTAGCATATGGTGACAACACTGACGTCAGTAGACTTCCTTTATATTATGAGAGAGCCACACAGTCCTGTGTATGTGTGGCTGGGGGCCGTGTCCCATGGCAGCCAAGAGCTCCAGTCATAGAGTGAGGCTGACTTGGTGTCAAGTCTTGGGGCCACTACTTTTTGGCTCGGATTTCAGGAAAGTCAAGTATCTTTCAACCTTAGCTTCTCTGTCTTGAAAATTGAGAACCTAATAGTATCTGTTTCACAGGATTGTAAGTCCATGTTGAGTCTTTAGCATTGACCTGAGGTAGAGAAAGTATTTATTAAATATTAGTTATTATTAACTAATGATTTCCTTTTCATGATTATAATTTGATCTTTGGCCTAGCAAAGGGTCTTTTAATGGGGTTTTGAGGGGCTTTTTTTTTTTTTTTTAAAGTTTTTATTGTTAATTGAGTGATAGTTTACATGGGAGGTCATCTGTTGTACCCTCACCATTTCATTGCAATGATTACAGTCTCCTCTGTGCATCATCATTCAACAATATTTGCTTCTATTCCCTCTGTTTTATTGGTGTGTGGGGGGATTAGTGAGCTTTTAAAAAGATTTTTAAGTAAAAGATCATGAGTACTACAGGTGTTTGTATTAATAAAGTATCGAGTTTCAGCAAAAAGAAATTAAATGCACAATTTAATATTAGTTCAAGCAATAGTTTTAGGCTCTCTGCTGATTTACCAAAATAAATGTGTATTAATTGGTTAATGTCATAGGATATTTCTCAGTCTCATTTTATTGCGCCTAGTAACATTTGTGTATGACATTCATTGTGTTTTAAACAGGAAGAAGCATTACCAAGGTTCTTATTGCAAACAGAGGAGAAATTGCCTGCAGGGTGATGCGAACAGCCAAAAAAATGGGTGTTCAGTCAGTGGCTGTTTACAGTGAAGCTGACAGGAACTCAATGCATGTAGACATGGTATGTTGTTAAAAACTCAAAATCAGGCTTTGAATTAACTGTTTTGTGTATTGTGTTGAAATTTTGGCTCTTTAATTGACAGAGTTTATATTTATTAGTATTAGCATGGTTTAGTAGGCAAGCTAAAGGTACATACTAACAGTTCCTCTTGGGACCATTTTCCAGTTATAATAGCCCCTGAATTAATACTTTGCTTCGTAGTGTAGTTGATTCATGGGCAAACTGCTTATCTCATCAGGTTAGTTAAAGCAGTTCATAGCTGTGGCTGATCCACAGACCACACTTTGAGTAGTAGTCATCCAGATCTCTGATGTTCAAGAAGAAAGATCAAGGTCTAGTCTTAGCAGCTACCACTTACTGGCCAAGTGGTCTTCGGCAAGCCACTTAATGTTTCTGAGCCTTGGTTTATCTCTAAAATGTTAAGTTTTAAAAACCCTACTCCCCTGAGGTCTCTGGATGTTTTCCATTATTACTACCTGCTTTCCACCAGACAGAACCCCAATCAAGGAAAATGACTATTGACCACCTTTATGTGTGTAGCAAAACTGCAAGCATCAGTGTAAATTTGTGGGAACCAACTTCAGTCATGCTGCAAACCTCAAGGTCAGCGGCTCGAAACTACCAGCTGCTCCGCGGGAGAAAGATGAGGCATTCTGCTCCCGTAAAGATTTACAGCCTTGGAAACCCTGTGCAGGGTCACTATGAGTTGGAACCGACTCCACAGCACATAACAACAACAACAACTTCATCTGGGCGCTTAGCCTACACAGCAGGCCCATGTGACTCTCTAGCCCCGTCTTTTTCATTTGGGACAATGACATTTCACACCTGCTTTGCTCCATTTAGACCTCTGATTCTGATTCTCCCTCTACCCACCTTATTCTCAGTAACTTGAATTTACGGAGAAAATAAAGCTATATGAGCTGCCCGCTATAGAATCTGCTGACTCCCGCCTCTCTCCACCCCCACCCCTGCATCTGTATCTATCCTCTTCCCATCCAAGGCCAGTTGTCTGTCTGTGCTCTAAATTCCTTTTCTCACCTTCTTAAGAACCTTCCACTTACAGTGGTATCTTCATTGCCTCTTCCTGAAAGCATTTAAAGATGCTGTAGTTGTTGTTCAGTGCTATTGAGTCAGTTGTGGCTCACTGTGACCCTGTAAAGGCTTTCCAAGAAACAGCTTGTGGGTTTGGCCCACTGACATGATTTGTGGTTAGCAGTTCATTGCTTGTCCTACAGTACTTCACCAGGACTCTCAGGTGCATAGCAAGGAAGCTTCAGAAAGTTGTGGAAAAATAGAACTAAAATAGGAAAAGGTAATGGAATTTTTCCATGACTTGGAAGTTCCCTCATATATCTTATTCTCTGTTGTCAAATTGTACATTTGGGGCATTAAGTACATCTAAATTTATTATAAGGAGCTCTGGTAGCATAGTGGTTACAAATCGGGCTGCTAATATCAAGGTCAGTATTTCGAAACTACCAGCAGTTCCGCGGGAGAAAGATGAGGCTTTCTGCTCCCATAAAGATTTACAGCCTCGGAAACCCTGTACAGGGTCGCTATGGGTTGGAATCGACTCAACAGCACTTAACAACAACAACAACAACAATATTATTGTTGCAAATAATACTAGCATGTCTACAGCCTGTTGCTTTTAATCCAGCGGCACTTTCATTTCACTCCAGTGTGTAATTTATACATATAAATTGGGTTTTGATAACTGCTTCACACAGCAGATTACAAATTGGTTTATAATCAATTTTTGATAACATAGACATGAGCTAGTATTTGTTTCTCAGTTCTTGCATTGTTCTTAGGAATCAACAACAATAATAAAATGATTCTGAAGCAGCGTTATAGTGCACTAGCTGTTCAGTCTTTCAAGCCTGTCATATTCCTTCTACAGGCAGACGAAGCATATTCCATTGGTCCTGCTCCCTCCCAGCAGAGCTACCTTTCTATGGAGAAAATCATTCAAGTGGCCAAAATCTCCGCTGCACAGGTAAGAGTTGGGAAGATATTTACAATGCAAGTGGGATGTGTTTTGCACACTTTATAGAAAATTTCTGATTCTGGAAATTATTTTATTTTTAATCATTCCCACAATTCCATGTGCTTGCTGGGCTATCATTAGATAACAAGCTTGTCTCGTCCATCATTAGCCACTCTGCCTTCCTACTGAATCCTCTGTACTTTAGATCTTTTGAGAAATAGATAGAGGAAGGTCTAAATTATAAATTCTTAATTTTACTAAGAGAGAATTCAGCCTTTTTACCTTCAAATGTAGATCCTAGGGACCTCAAGGAGTTCTAATGTGGCACTGTAGGATAAGCATCTTAACCACAGAGTCTGAGGTTCAAACCCACCAGCCACTCCTTGGAAATCCTGTACAGGGTCACTCTGGGTTGGAACTGACTTGATGACACTTAACAATAACAACAAGGGATGTCAAATACTTTGGGAAAATAAATGGTAGTCTGGATCACAAAGAACAACATGAAAGGTTGGATTTGGAGCTGAGAGAACCCAAACGGGAAGAACGCAGTAGGAGATGATAAAACCAAGATCTAGGCAGGGACAGTGTCATTTAGGGTATTATGAAATACCCCAAAATAAGTAAACTCAGTGCTATCAAGTCAATTCCAATTCATGCTAACCCATGAGTCTATGTTACCAAGTAGAACTTCTCCATAGAGTTTTCTTGGCTATCATGTTGGGCTGCTAACTGTAAGGTCAACAGTTTGAAACCACCAGTTGCTCTGAGGGAGAAAGAAGAGGCTGTCTGCTCTTATAATACAACTTTATAGCATAAGCAGGCTTGCAGAATGTGCCCTTGGGTTGTTTAAATGAGTATATCTTCCTGAGTGTTTCCACACCAGGATTCCTTTACAATGTTGGTTTCATATGGTAGTTGCTCTTTTGTGATTGACTAGTTTGACGCAGCATAATGTCCTCCAGATTCATCCATATTGTGGAGTATTTGCAGATTCCTTGTTTTTCTTCAACTTTGCAGTGTATTCCATTGAATGTATGTACCAAAGTTTGTTTAACCATCCTTCTGTTAATGGGCGTTTAGGTTATCTCCATCTTTTTGATGTGTCTGTTATAGACAACACTTTGAAGGGTCCTGTTTTCTTATTCATTCTGCTCTGTCTCTTGACTGGTGCATTTAATCCTTTGATATTAAGTGTAATTATTGCTAGGTATTAATTGATTGCTTTCATTTTGCTGTGTGTTCTTTTTTGTGGTGTTGCTGGTTTCATTGTTCCACATAATTTTCTGCACTGGGTTCATTTTGTTTGGGGGTTTTTCTTTGCATTTTCATTTCTGTGGTTTTAATGTTTACTAAGTATCTCTAAATTTCCCCTTTTTTAATTTTGATGTGCAGGTGTATTCATTTTCTTTGAGGCTACCCTGTCATTTATTAATACTTTGCCCTATTTAAAACAATCTGTTGTACCTTGAAATCTACTTGTCTGCTTGCCTTTTGAAAGTTCTGTAGCTACACTACTCTCTTTTTTGCTTTGTAGTTTACTTCACTATAAATTGATATATCTGGTTCCCTATTTTCAGTCTTATAAGTTTGTTTTAGTTTTAATACGTCTACAAGGTGACTCAAAAATTATCCACACTTTGGCTGTAGAATTTATTTTAGTCAACTTTTAGAAAATACAAATACGTTATATTTTTGGGCATAATATTCTTGCTTTTCAATTCACTTTGTTCATCTGTCAACAAGCTTTCTTATTTCTTTATTTAAAAAAATGTTTTGGGCTGAGCTGTGAGCTACGAATGCACTCACTGCTGTCTTCACTTCTTTATCAGAAATGACTCTTTGTCCTTGAAGAGCTGCTTTAAGGGGACTAAACAGGTGAAAGTCCAGTGGGACAATATCAGGACTATAGGGGGGATGCTTTAACACCAAAAAAGGAAGTTTTTGCTGTTGTCAACAGTGTGGACAGAGGTGTGTGGACATGCATTGTCATACAAGATCACAAAGCCCTTGGATAGCAGTCCTCTGTGTTTAACCCAAAGTTTAGGCGTCAGCTCTTCAGTGGGCATCTCACTGTAACGAGCTTTGTTGATTGTTGAATCTTGTTCCTGATAGTGTTCCAATATTGGTCCTTGAGAATCCTAGAAAATTGTAAGCATCAATTTTCCAGATGTTATTTGAGTTTTGAACTTGTTCTTGGTCGGCGATTGAGAATGGTTCCATTCCATACTCTGCTATTTATTCTCAGGCTTGTGATGAGCCCATGTCTTGTCACCAGTAATGATTTTTTTTTAAGAAACTTTTACTTACCTTTTGAGTATGGGTCCAAATTTTGTTTACAGATGTCTGAACACTTCTGTTTATGCTCTTCCATGAGTTGTTTCAGTACCCATCTCACACAAACTTTTCAAAACCCAAGTCCATCGTGGATTATTTCATATTCAGAGCCACATGATCCACTGTCATTCATCTAGTCAACAGAATCATTTCACGTGCACGCTCGATGTTGTAATCAGTGACGGATATGGACGGGCATTTTAATACAACTGGAGTGCTGATAATTTTTGAGTTCACTCATATATCTGGATTGAGCTCTGAGTGGTGGTGTCATGTATGGTAATCTCAGGTTGTGATCCTCTATTGTTGGTTCTCACACCAAAGAAATCCCTTTGACATTTTTTGTAAAGATGGTCTCGTCATTACAAATTCCTTTAATTTCTGTTTATCTGGAAACGTCCTAATTTCACTATTGAATTTGAGGAACAGCTATGCTGGATATGTGATTCTTGGTTTTGGTTAACAGCTTTTCTTCTTTCAACGTTCTATACATGTCATTCTATTGCATTCTTACTTACATGGTTTCCACTGAAAAACCAAAGCTTAGTTTTATTCATTGTCTTTTGTTGGAAACCTTATATTTCCTGAGCTGCTCTCAGGATTCTATCTTTGTCTTTGGTTTTAGAGAATTTGATAATATCTTGGTAGTTTTCTTCTAGGGTCTGTCCTGTTTGGGATTCGCTCATCTTCTTTTTTTTTTTTTTAAGTTTTTATTATGAATTATGTGATAGTTTACATGGGAGAACATTAGCTTTATATTCATCCTATCATATATCATTTCATTGCCATGATTACAATCCCCTCCATGCATCAGCAAACAACCAAAGGGTATACTATACCTCACAAACCTGCCACTCAGTCGTCAGCACACAGCCCCTCTCCCTCGCTGGGTCTAGAGTCCCCAGCCACTCTATCTCTCCATGTCATCATCTCTG